GTTACTCCTGGCATAGAACTTTTTAAAATGATTCATTTAACTTTTTTCATACGTATATTCCACTCAAAAGATAAACCTAAATTCCACCCTGTAGGAGGAGGGCCCGCTTGTTTGTCCTGGCCACCTAGCTTGCTTAGCCCTGAAATAATCACACAGAAACTGTATTAATTAAATCACTGCTTGGCTCTAGCTTCTTATTGGCTAACGCTTACATATTTAACCCATCTCCATTAATCTGTATATTGCCATGTGGCAGTGGCTTAGCGGCAATGTTTCAGCGGGTCTGACTCTGGTGGCGGCTCTCTAACTCCTCCTTCTTCCTCCCATGCTATAGGCCAAGCCAGTTCTTTATTCATTAACCAATAAAAGCAACATGTAGATAGAAGAACCTCCCATACCATTTCCCCTTTTCTGTTTAAACAAAAAGGAAGGCTTTAACTTTATCTTAGTAAAGTTACATAAAACAGGTATCAATTATGAATTACAGTTATAATATTTATATCTCTTTTATCATAACTAAAAATAACTATAACTATCTATTCTTCAACTCTATCAAAGACTCCAGAAGTATATAATATTACCTAAAATCAGCAGGAAGTACATTATAAGCAACTTCCAAAACTCTAGAATTGACAGAGGCATCTTGCTGCTGGCAGTCACCCAAAGTTTTTCTGTACTGTTGGGGCATCCATCTTCAGCCTACAGGCCCATAGTATCCAGCAGACTTTTCCATGAAGCAGGAAATTTCAATGACAGGTCTGTCTATATTGACAGTTTGCCAGTCACTTTCTTTTGTGTCCTGCATAATGTCTTGCAGACTCTTTCATGTATCACGAACCCCAAAGGACCATTTCACCTTTAGGGAAGTTCAGTAGTCATTTCTCTGAGTATTCTGTGTGTCCAGTTCTTCTAAAAAACTCCATAAGAAGCCTCCTCGATACCCATCTTCCTCTTGAAGTAGATTGGTGCTTCCAGGAGCAGATGTATCTCACTGTCATGAAAAGTCCTAAGTTCTGAAAATACTTAAATGCCATGTTCTGAAGGTCTCTGAAAGATTTGAAGAATACCTAACTGAAATATATCTCTGTATATCTAGAAAACTGAACACGACTACAAGCTTGAATATTATAGATGATTAACTATTAACCTATATTTCTTAATTATACATTACATTTTAAAATGAGCTATACAAATACAATACCTTAATCAAGATCAGAAATACATGTAACAAAATTGACCTTAAATTTGTATCAATAAATCAAGATCTACACTAATGCATGTTATTCCTATCTATATTATATCCCCCTTTAAAGAAACATTTGTAAACAATATTTGGGAATATGGGCATAGTTTTGTCCATACATCTTCCTGCTGATTGGAGGTGCTGTTAATCAGATCTTTTATGGTGTATTCTGTGTGCTAGGTTCATCTCAGTCAGCAGTTGGGCGAGGTAATTTTTGAGGGGTATTCAAGGCGACCTTTCAGGGATTCTTATTCCATCAAACCACACCAGTCTGAAAGCAATCCACAGGTTCTCATCCTCTGTGGAAACAAGAGAAGAACCTCTTTTTCAAAGCAACATATCCTTAGACCCAAATTTGGAAGTCATGATACCTTTATAATATACATTCTGTTTTAGCTTAGCAGCCCATACAATGAAATGTCTCTCTGTACTTAGCTCATTCACAGTCAAAAAATTTAAAGAAAACACAATAATATACATAATCCAGACTCTCTCTGAATTATCCATTTTTGTGTGGCTTATTTTTCTTTACTCCTTTTAATAATGACTATCTGTACTCTGTCTCTTTAAAGACTTTACCCCCCCTTTCTTAAAGCATTAACTTTATTTTATGACTCTCCATACTCTGTTTCTTTTCTCTTCCAAGCCTATGTACATTTATCTAACACTGTGACTCATCTGGATTTGTCTTTATTGCACATCTGTAATTCTTTACTGTCCAGGAGCGCTTTTTAAAAATGGTAAGTGCTTCTTAAAACTTAAGATGCGCCATTATTATGGTATATATGGTACTCTCTGCTTGCCTGCCAAGTCTGAAACTTAACTGCACCATTACTATGATACATACGGTACTCCCTGCTTACACCCCCCCCCCCAGTCCAGCATAGTGAAGGCACTTGCACCTCTGAGAACCATGCATACAGCCCCATTCTGAGGCACACAGCCAGTCCTTGTGGCAATTAAGCAAGCTACAGCGGTCTGCTCACAAACCATATCCCCATCCAATGCTCTATAGCTGGACCTCCTGCCTGGCAGGAGGCTCAGAAAGCCGGCATTTTTAAACGGTCACAGCTGAATCAGGGAAACCTCTCTTAAGGGAGCTTCAGCATGCTGCCAATAAATGGCAAGAAGCTGTGTTAAACGCTGTATTTTTGTGTCTAGAATTAAGCTCTCTCAGGTTTTTAAGTGGATTTTAGTTGGCCACATGGGTGCCAATTTATAGGAAGAAGGCCCGCTTGTTTGTCCCAGCCACCCGGCTAGCTTAGACCTGAAATAATCACATAGAAACTGTATTAAGTAAATCACTGCTTGGCCCATTAGCTCTAGCTTCCTATTGGCTAACTCTTACATATTAATTTAACTCATCTCCATAAATCTATATTGCCATGTGTTAGTGGCTTACTGGCAAAATTTTGGCATGTCTGACTCTGGCAGCGGCCTCATAGTGTCTCTCTAACGTCTTCCTCCTCCCATGCTATAGGCCAAGCCAGTTCTTTATTCATTAACCAATAAAAACAACACATAGAAGGACCTCCTACACCACCCTGTTAGACTGATGTGTATAACTAAGTACGAATGCAGTCAGTGGTGTCCTCATTAGCATGCTCAGTGAATGTTGGTAAAGCAAGCTGTCTCCTATCCAGCCCTGCCCCTGGCAAGGGTAGAGAAATGGGTGTGCACTGGTGCCTCGTGCGCTGTGGTGACCCTGTTAGGTGAGAACTTTGTTGCCACAGAAATTCCCACTCAAAATTCACAGCTCCAAGTTCACTGCAGTGGTGGCTCTGTCCGCTTTGCTCCTTCCACAGCGGTGATGATTATGGTCAGGCTTGACCAAGCCTGAGTCATTGTGCCCATCAGGTTATAGACAGTTGTGAATCTCTAGATGTGCTGGGAACCAAATTGGGGTCCTCTGCAGGAGCAGCGAGGGCTTTTCACTGAGCCATCTATCTCGCCAGCCCCAGCAATTACATTTTTAGAAAAGAAGATACTGAGATTCTTGAAATAGCTGTGTTCTTTTTGAAAGTGCAAAAACTTAACCCTTATGAGTAACCAAGATCCCATTGGTTGCCAGCAGTGCCATGCTCCATGCCTCTCACAGATTGTAACAGTGACAATCACAAAGAGAGGCTCTGCCCTGTGTTTTGACTGCTCTGTGACAGAGATAGCTGGTCAGGAAAGTGCTTATATTAAGCTCTTCTTGGATATTTTATTTTTTTAAGAATCAGGGAATATTCCTTCAGTAGAGCATTTGTAAATTTTATTATTTTTTTATTTTATGTGTACTGGTGTTTTGCCTGCATGTGTCTGTGTGAGGGTGTTGGGTCCCATGGAACTGGAATTACAGACAGCTGTGAGCTGCCTTGTGGGTGCTAGGAATTGAACCCAGCTCCTCTGAAAGAGTAGTTAGTGCTCTTAACCACTGAACTGTTTTTTCAGTCCCCTACTTCTTGGATATTTTTTTTCTTCTGATTATTTTGAGACAGGGTTTCTCTGTAACAGAGCCCTGGCTATCTTGGAACTCTCTTTGTAGACCAGGCTGGCCTAGAACTCACAGAGATCGCCTGCCTCTGTCTCCTGAATGCTGGGATTAAAGGGGTTTGCCACCATGCCTGACCACTTCTTGGATTTTATTGTGAAAAGAAAATTCTCAATTAGAAGGAAACATTACATTATAAATATGAATTATTATGATAAGCAGTAAACAAATAGGTTGAATTTTCCACAGAATAGTTAGCAAATCATCCTTCAGTATGGCATTTACAACATCAGCATTAAGTTTTTATCTTTCAAAAATATGTGTAAAGAGTCATGTGCTGGCTTATGCCTGTAATCCTAGTGCTCAGGGAAGAAGCAGAAGAATCAAGACTTCCAGGGTGGCTGTTTTTTTGCTTAGGGGTTATTTGGAATCTTTGGACTTCAGTGTGAATTTTAGGATAATTTTTTTTCTATTTCTGTGAAGTGTTTCATTAGATTTTTATGGCGATTGTGTTGTATCTGTAGATCTCTTTGAACAATGGGGCCATTTTTGCAGTATCCTGAGAATATACCTATGTATTCAATTTCTTCAGTGTCTTTAGAGTTGTATTTTTAGAGATCACTCACCTCTTTAGTAGATTTATTCGTCATTTTTTTTAAAGCTATTGTGAATGATTTCTTTCTCAGCAAGTTTGCCGTTGATACAAAGATTAGCTACTGTTTGCGTGTTGACTTTGGGTCCTGCCTCTTTACTGAGCACCATGACACGGAACTTCTCTTGCTATTTCCAAGGGCTTCTTGATAAAGCATTTTCCTTAACTAATGTTCTTAAATATAGAAGCCAATAATCATTGTAAAGTACAAACTGACATTTTGAGGAGTTGAATAACATTTATTTTCTAAATCTCTTTAGCGTTCTTCATTCTAAAAATAGATAGTTGACACTTTCCTGGTAGTGTTTGACATTTTGGTGAATCCACGATTTTTTTGGAGGGGTGGGGGCCTGGCTGTACTGAAACTTACCCTTACTATGTAGCTCAGACTGGCCTCGAACTCAAGAGATGCACCTGTCTCTGTCTGCCATGGCTTCTTTGACCTTTTCTTTGCAGCTGAACTGCTTGTGTTCTGGAGACAGGAGCGAATGGCTACAGAAATTTACAGACATTTTTGTTTTCTGGCTTTGGATGCTTTTCTGTTTTTATTTATGACAGCAAATGTGCTTTTCAATTAGGCCAATTAGTGTTCTTAGATTTAATTAGTCTCCTTTTCCCCTCTCTTTCAGGACTTGAAGAAGCATATGGCACCTGTAAAGTTAAATGTCACTCCTTGTCGCCACTTGGACCTTCTGCTTGAGACCTGCATGTGACTTTCCATCTGTGATCTTGGCTTCTCATATCTACTGACTTTGATTACAGAAAAGTCTCTGAAGATTCATATCAAATGACGTCAATGGCCAGCTTGTTTTCTTTCACTAGTCCAGCCGTGAAGCGATTGTTGGGCTGGAAACAAGGTGATGAGGAAGAAAAATGGGCAGAAAAGGCAGTCGATGCTTTAGTGAAAAAGCTGAAGAAGAAGAAGGGCGCCATGGAGGAGTTGGAGAAAGCCTTGAGTAGCCCAGGACAGCCAAGCAAATGTGTCACTATCCCCAGGTCCTTGGATGGACGCCTGCAAGTTTCTCACAGAAAAGGCTTACCCCATGTCATATATTGCCGTGTTTGGCGCTGGCCAGATTTGCAGAGTCATCATGAGCTAAAACCATTGGATATTTGTGAATTTCCTTTTGGATCTAAGCAAAAGGAAGTCTGTATCAATCCATACCACTATAAGAGAGTGGAAAGTCCAGGTAAGTTTCACTTCGCTGAGAGAATTAAGAATAAACCACCAAAAACCCAACATGGCTCTTACCGATTTGCATATAACTAGGCTTATTACATTAGCCTTCGTTAAAGATTTCATCTTAGGAGGAATACTAGGTTTTAAATTTAGCTTTTTTGAACATTAAGCTCTTGATTGGCTGCTAGAACTCACTATCTCTAACACCCACTTCTTTTCTGTGGCTGACATCTCTGAATGCTAAACCCATGTCCCATGTTCACACTAGATCCTGCTCCTTGTTTGTTTGGGAACTGGGCTGTCGTGCAGCAACTGTTTTTCTGGCTTTACATCTTACAAGAGTCTTTATTGTTACATTTACTGTGTGCTTGCGTATGAGATGACACATGTGGAGATCAGCGGACTATTTCCAGGAGTCAGGAGGTCTTCCTGGGTCTTGTTACTCAGTTTTCATTGCCTAGGACAGTCCCCTTCACTAATTGTTAGTAGGTACTGGCCAGTATTTTTTTGTTTTTTGTTTTTTTTTGTAATCAGTGAATTATATATTAGTCCTTTTATTGATGCTATAGCAGAATACCACAGACTGGAAAAGTTCACTCTGCTGAGAAGACTCCAAAACACAGCCAACATGTCTCTCTGATTTGCACATACCTAGGTTTATTAGCTAAAAGTTTACATGAGCCTTTGTTAAAGATTAACAATAGAAATACTGGGGGTAGAAAGTCCAGGATTAGGAGACTGTCTGGTGTGTTCCTCATAATCAACTGTGCTACTAGCAGCACTCAAGTGTGAGTGAGACGGAGAAGACAGTGAAGCTAGAGCATCCGTAAGGAAACCTGTGGTGCTGGGGATCCAGACCAGTCTCGTGCATGTTAGGCGCGTGCCCTGTCATGGGCTACCCCTCAACCCAAGTCACCTGTTGCTGTACCAAGGAGTCCACCTCCACAGGTACTACCTCATCGCTTCCTGTTAGGCCCCACCTCCCAGCATTGTCATGTTGTGAATTTTCTGGTGCATGAACTTCTCAAGATTTTCTATAGCAGCTGAGATACTAGTTGGGATCTTTATCTGTTGATAAACAATAAATAACATACCTGTGGTAGTTTAAGCACAACACACATTTATTATCTTACAGTTTCTGGGGTTCAGGCATCTGAACTACCCTTAACAGGTGACTACCCTTAACAGCATCTTTTTTGAGTTTCTAATCAAGGTGTCTTTCAGGGCTTGGTTTTTTTTGGAAGTTCAGACAGGGAAGGGGCTCCTGTGCTACTGACAAGATTTAGTTCCTGCGGAGGCCCCTGGACTCTGGCTGCCTGTTGGCTGGAGACTGTGTCAGGAGTTCACCTTTCTGTGTGTTCTACACTGTCGTTCCCTCTCAGTGTCACAGTTGCTCTCTACAGAGGGTTTCTCAGAGCATGCATGCATGTTATTTTGTTTTCTTCAGAGCCAGGCAGAGCATTTTCCTACAAGAGGGCATTGAGTTCTTAGCAGTGTGACCTTGTACCCCCATTACTTTGCCATAATTCCGTTGGCTGGAAGCAAGTCCTTGGTCGCATGCTGGAGAGAGAGGACTGTCCAAGCTCATGAATACCCAGAGCCTGTCTTCCGTACTAGAGGAACTGCAAGCCTATGTGGTTGGATGCAGAGACTTGTGTTACAGCTCAACCGTGAGTTGCGGTTCATATTTGAGAAGGGTCTCAGTTTCTTATGGAGCCCAAGAAGAGCCTTGGTGTGAGGGAACTGAGGAAGAAAGAATAAGGCAGATTTAAAGGAAGAATATTGTCTGAAAATTGAAAAATTCTCAAACTAGGTATTTACTAGCAATCCATGTAAGGATTTTGTCTGTTCCTTCTCATAGTCAAAGTGTAACCGACAGTGGCCAGTAGAATTGTCTTTCTTTTAATCCACTTTATTGTTCCGTGGAAAGGATGGGAGCAATTATGATACTTTACAATAACTTCAGAAATAGCTCGCTAGTTGAGTTGCTAGAAAAAGACTATAGAAACCTCATATTGGTCCCCCGCCCACACATCTTGGGAGGGTGTAGCCTTATTCAGGAGTGATTGGTGTTCCTCCTTGAGCAAGCAGGAAGGACAATAGATGCCTCATCTCCTGGTACGTGCTAGTAAAAAGGGTGTTGCTGATTATGGTGACAGTGAGCAGTTTTGAGCACTCATGAACAGAAGTGCTCTCCTAATTCTGGGCTTCTTTTGTTGTAGAGGTAGACAGAAAGCCATGACTTTTCATGGCATTGAAGTCTATTAACTATAAGTCTTAACTTACACAGAGCACACAGTGAATGCGTGAGAAAAAGATGGGAGGTATAATGAGCCTAGAAGAGTAAGGCCAACCTAAATGGTCCAGTATTTTTTTGACTAGAAAGTATTATCTGGTGGCTGAGAGGTTAGTTTCTAGAGTTACGGTTTTACTATATAGTTATTACCTGTCCTCAGGCAGGATACAAAATCTTTTTTTTTTTTTTTTTTTTTGATTTTTCGAGACAGGGTTTCTCCGTAGCTTTTGGTTCCTGTCCTGGAACTAGCTCTTGTAGACCAGGCTGGCCTCGAACTCACAGAGATCCGCCTGCCTCTGCCTCCCAAGTGCTGGGATTAAAGGCGTGCACCACCACCGCCCGGCTGGAGACAGTACTAATACTAACAACCTAACAGTGTTTTGGGGGAGATTGTTTGAGTTAGTGTGGATCTAAGTGCTTAAACAGTATGTAGCCCCAGTCAGTTTCAAATCAAGATCATTTCTTCAGAGGGATCCATTCTGGAAACAGAGCATATGGGGAGTGGGAGAAGAAAATTTTCAGTAAACACTGTTGCAGCTACTTCGAACTGAAAATGCAAGAGCCAAGTAATTAGCAAAAGGACTGAAAAAGACCTACTGATAGAGTTCTAGTTAATCATGTATATGGATATTCTGAAAGCTTCCAGAAAGAAAATATAGGGCACATAAAAACAAGAACAAACAAAAGCTAGAAATCTAAATTATTGCATTTCTTAGTCCAATTCTGGATCCTAGAAGAAAATGAATCATTTATCTTCAAAATCCAGAAGGAAACTATGGCCTGGATTTCTGTATGTAGAGACATGAAAGGGAGAATAATTTCATACATGTTTCCCATTCCGTTCTTAGGAAGCAAGTAGAGGGCAAAGTCAGGAAAGGGGACCCAGCCAGAGAAACAGTCCTAAGCAGCAACTAGGACAGATAGAGCAAAGGACTGAACACTCCAGAGGAATACAACACAGCAAGTCCATAATTGTTTGATTTATAGCATCTGAAAAAGGTGCTATTGACGGGCTCTGACAAGTGGGTTAGGATACTGGAAATGTGAGTGGTGTGTACTTAAAATTAAGGAAATCATTAACTTTAACAAAAAACACTGCTCAGGAGGAAAATGCACAGTATACTTGATTCCTCAATTGATTTTGTGTGTGTGTGTGTGTGTGTGTATACTATGTATGAGAGTGTATAGGACGTGCATATGTAGTAACACTACATACCAACTGAGCCCAAATTTTAAAAAATAGGTTTTATGTGTATGGGTATTTTGCCTGCATCTTGTGTGCCTGAAGAAGCCAGAAGACAGCATCAGATCTTGTAAAAGTGGAGTTAGAGACTGTTATGATCTGCCATGTGGGTGATGGGAATCAAACCTAGGTGTTCTCTCTCTCTCTCTCTCTCTCTCTCTTTTCTTTTTTTTTGAGACAGGGTTTCTCTGTAGCTTTTGAGCCTGTCCTGGAACTAGCTCTGTAGACCAGGCTGGTCTCGAACTCACAGAGATCCGCCTGCCTCTGCCTCCCGAGTGCTGGGATTAAAGGATTAAACTACTGAGCCATCTCTCCAGCCTCTTAACCCAATTTTTAATAGATTAGGGAAATAGAAAGGGCTAGACTACTATAAGAAAGATGCCTCAGCTAGTAGTCATAGTTCTTGGGAGGCCAAGGCAGTAGGATTGCTGTGTTTGAGGCTAGTCTGTGCAGCAAGACTGTTTGAGTTTCTCTCCCCCACCAACACAAACAGTTGCTTCATTTACCATAAGAGAAGTTTATAAGTAATGTCATAGAATCAATAATAACAGTTTATCATAGTGTGCATATAGGATGCATCGCAGTGCCCCGCCTAAACAAGGTCTGTGGAGGAGTTACAACAGAAAGCGCTCAAAATCCCTTGCAGGCTGTTGTCTCTTACTAAATATGTTAGACTTGTCTCTTACTCTCCACATATTATTTTATGTGAAAATAAAAAAAATAAAATCTTTTGCATAGATAGTATACAAATGAGAGGGAAAACGGGGATTTTAACTATGCCTACAAAAATATCTTGACTGAATTGAATTCTTTAGTTATTTTACTGTTATTCAGATTGTGGGATAGCTAAGTATAAATCCTTCCTAATTTCTGCTCTACTCTGCAGACAGCTGTCTCGCCTTTCTCTAGTGATAGCTGTTGTTACTACATAAGAGAGCAGAGCACTGGCTGCAGGATCCTTATGTGTGTTTTTACTTCTGAGAGGTGAAGGATGACCTGGTTAGCATATATATTTGATTTTGTTGCTGCTGCATAGTCCAGAGTCAAATTAAATTCTTTTTCTTCCCCCTGAAATGGAGTTAACATTGACAACTAAAAGAACATTGTGAAAGAGATAATCGGTACGTTTACTTTCCTGCAGAAGATAATCAGCTGCTCGTCATTATAGTTGGGGTCTTTAGAGATGGACACTCGGATAAGGGAAACTACTCGATTACATTCTGAGAGGTTGTTACGTGTGTCCTCATGATTGCATTTAGAGGGCTGACTGTGAGCAGGCTCTCACTCTGGAGGGTTGTTGGATGGACGAGGAGAGCCTTACCAGTTCGCTGAATGCTGAACGTGAGCTCTCTGACCTACTGGAAAGGCTCAGGGCACCGCACGCTGACCTCCACTTCCTTCCCTAGTCTTAACCTCTGCCTAGATCAGTGCTAGACCAACTCGCTGTTTCCTCCCTTCTCACCGCCTCTCTTCTCTCCTAGCTTTCTCATGGGAAATCCTCTTGTCCTGTCAGGTGTTACCCTTTCCATGTATTTGGTTTCCTGCTGGCTAGATTGCTCACTTCTTGAGTTCTTACTAATTGCATTAAATGTTTCTTATTCTAACTGCTTTTGAAATGGCTTACATGGAGAATGGCATCCTTTCTGAATTTCTGCTTCCGGAGTCCCTCATACAGGCTAAATGCCAGAGGGCTTTTGGTTTGGTTCTGATGTAAACACAGATTCAGATTCTACAGAACACTGCCCCCCATCAGTTAACTTTAATCACAGCTTGCTTCTCTTTTCTCCTCCAGCCCCTTATGTGTTCCTGACTGACTGTTGTTTTTCTTTCAGTCTTACCTCCAGTGTTAGTGCCTCGCCACAACGAATTCAATCCGCAGCATAGCCTTCTGGTTCAGTTTAGGAACCTGAGCCACAATGAACCGCACATGCCACACAACGCCACGTTTCCGGATTCCTTCCAGCAGCCCAACAGCACCCCTTTCCCCTTGTCTCCTAACAGCCCCTACCCCCCTTCCCCCGCCAGCAGCACATACCCCAGCTCCCCAGCAAGCTCTGCACCAGGAAGCCCGTTTCAGCTCCCAGGTAAGACTGAGAGTGGGATTGTTTGAAGTGCTGCTCTTCTGAGTGAGATTGCTGTGGGGGACATTTTCTTTAGGAATTTATTTCCATAAGAAGTAGAGTTTATTTTTCAAGTTCCATTATGTTCAAAAATTTGGAAATAAGGGTATTAAGTATAAATGTTTAATTTGCTGTTAGGCGTTGTCTCATATGAATACTTTCATCTTAGATTCAGTGCTATATATGTAGTTCTGTCTTATTATATCCTGTATAAACCTTGAGGCAAAAGACAACTTCTATTTAGTTTTATATTTATCAAAACAAAAAGATCTAGCTGTAGCTTTCGCAAAAATTCACAACTTTGAGTGTTGGAAGGCCAAAGTTTCGTTAACGTTTCCGAAGCTAATTGCTCTGTCATTTAATGGGGCGTGTTAGTTATTTGGGGGCATTACAAAAGAATGAGATAACTTCAAAAAGTGCATTTTGAAGGGACACAGTTTTAGAGGACACTGCAGTATGTGATGATAATGATGGCAACTAAAAATGTGCCTGTAGTATGTGCCCAAGGTGGTCTGTGGCCGCACATTGCTGTGTTAGCTGCAGTTTCTTTGAACATAGATAGCTTTAAAAGAAAGAGAAAATTTTTGACCTTGGGTTCCACTTTAGTGTTGTTCCTGGTATCCTGGATTACCGAGGGTCCAAGTTAATGTAGGCTTGTAGTAGGTGTGCTGGAGAGGTTGTGTGTGCTCTTTCCTGCTCTTGTACAGTATCCTACATCTGTGTGTGCATTGTTCTGTAGTGAATCCTGCTGATAACCTTGTCAATTTAAAAATGCTTTTAGAGTAATAGCTTTAAGCAGAATGAAGACTATCTTCTTTGAGGAATGGATGTGTCTCATTTTCTTGCTCTTAGCTGATACACCTCCTCCTGCCTATATGCCCCCCGAGGATCAGATGGGACAAGATAACTCCCAGCCCATGGACACAAGCAGTGCCGTCATTCCTCAGATCATGCCCAGCATATCCAGCAGAGGTGAGAAGAGCGCTTGCTGCTTCCTTTTGTTGGTGCTATTCCTGCTTCCTTTAACTGCTTGACCACTTTTCTTTTCAGTGCTAGGAATCCAATCCAGGGCCCTCCTACTCTAGGTAAATAATCTCCCACTGAGTTAATTTCCCAATCTTAGTCACTTGTGCAAACAGTGTGAATGGAGTATGGCTGTAAAATCAACTGAGTGTGCAGGTCAGTGGTTTGGGCAAGTATATGAAATTTTGGTTCAAAATGTAGTTTACAAACATTGCCATAACCTTTCCAAAGAGATTTCCACCTCACCCTGGGCTCAACAAACCTCTGTTCTCTATACAGATATTTTTCTGAATATTTCATAAAATAGAGTCATGGGGAAAAAAAAGGCCAGGCGGTGGTATTGTACACCTTTAATTCCAACACTTGGGAGGCAGAGGCAGGTGGACCTCTGTGAGTTCGAGGCCAGCCTGGTCTACAGAGGAAGTTTCAGGACAGGCCCCAAAGCTACAGAGAAACCCTGTCTCAAAAAACCAAATATATACATATATAGCGTCATAGGGACAGTGAAATGGATTAGTGGGTAAGTGCATGTACTGCTAACCCTGATGATCATGCCAGGGACCTGAGTTTGTTTACCAAGAGGCACATGGTAGGAGAGGAATCCCCTCCTAGATAGTGTAATAAAAGTGCACTGGTAGATAATATATTTAAAGATTTATTTATTTTTGTTCTCTGTATGTGCTTTGCCTGTATGTGTGTATGGGTGTTGTGAACTGAATCTGGGTCCTCCTCAAACAGTAAGTGGTCTAAACCACTGAGCCATCCCTACAGCTTCCAAATATAATCCTTTAGATTGTATTTCATTCACTGAGCACAGTGTGTCAAGGTCGCCTATGGTGTAGCGGTGTTCAGCAGACCTTTGAGTGGTTTGCAGTTGGATTAGTGTTCTGAGTAGCTGCACCCTTAGAGCACTGTGTACAGTGCTTTGTGTAGGTACTGGGTTTTGTTTTGTTTTTTTAATCTTGGGTAGATGCCTATGAGCAGAATTTCTGATCAGAAGGTAAGCTTAACTATTTGAGAAGAATAGCCAGACTTTTCCAGTGTGGCTGCCAATATCTGTCTACTTTCTATCTAAAGTCTAGCTTCTCCGTACCGTCCCAGTACTGTTACCGCCTAGCTTTTGAAGGGTTATTGTACCCAATGGATGTGAAGCACTCACTGGATTTCATTTGTACGCCCTATAGAGTACTGACGTTGAACACTAAAGTGCTTTTTCTGTAGTCTTTATTGAGCTGTAGCGTTCTTTGTAGATTCTGGAAGTTGACCACCCCACTCTTTTTGGTGAAATCTAACTCAGGTCACAGTGAGTGGCAGTAGATTGTTTACATGAAGAAATACTGTTCTAGATCAGTTTTTTTCTACTTAATTAACATTAAATAAAGCCGTACAATACTTGTTTATTATGACTAGCTTATTTCTCTTAGCACAACACCCTTTTGAGGCCCACATACATTGTTGTATTTGTCAGAATTTCATTCCTTAGGTGAACAGTCCTCCCTTGTGTGTGCCCTGTGTGTTCACCTGCTCTCACAGAGGAGCTGCTGTGCTGTTCCCACTTTTGCTCTGCTCTGTCATCTGCAGAAGCACCACCTGGAGGCTGCTGCAGTGTTGCCGTGGTGTAGATGCGCTCTTGTTATGGTAGGCTGGTTGATTACAGCGCTCAAATGTTCTATTTCCTTTCTAATTGTTCTTTCTAAAATTGAGAGTGAAAGATTGAAGTCTCGACCAATTAGGATAGACTTACCTATTTCTATTTTCAATTCTTTTGATGATTACTTCATGTATTTGGGGACTCCTGTCAAAATGTACAATTCAGGAATATTAAATACATTCAGCACTGTGCAGCTGTCCTCACTGTCTGTTTCCAGAGCTTGTTTTCCTCCGAAATAAACCCTGTGCCCATTATAAATACCCCCATTTTTCTTCCTCTAACCCCTGGTCAGTAGCAGTCTACTTTCTATCTGAGTTTTCCTGTTCTGAGTGTCTGCTCTAGGTGGACTCATCTACTGCTTGCATGTCCTTTTGTGTTCTGCATGGCATGTCCAAGAATTAGCCATGTCATAGTGTATGTTTAAATCTCATTCCTTATTAGGGATGAATGACATCTGTATAGTTGTTCACCATTTATCTATTTATGAACACTTGGCTTTATTCTACTTTTGTGGCCATTGCACAGCAGGCTGTTGCTTGGGTCTGTCTGAGTATTACATACATTTTGGAGTAGAATTGCTGTGTTCTGTGCTAATGATGTTTAACCTTTGGAATCCCCAAACTACACAGCATCTGCATCACTGCGTTCCCAGTGGCACTGCATAAGCTTTTGAGTTTTCCACATTCTCGCCAGCTTGCTTTTCTGTTGTTTGTGATATTGTCCTTGCTCTCCTCATCATTACAATGGTTGTCCTAATGTCTGTGAAGTGGTGCTATATATAGGGTGTTTTACTTGACAAGTAAGGAATAGTGTGGTTGTTGTTTGTTTTTCCCGTGATGTTAGCATTGTGCTTGTGCCTTATGTTGTTACAAGTGTTTTACAGATGATTTACTGACATTTTGGGTGCTACAGAGGTATCTCTGAGTAAAGTCTTGCTGTGCAAGTATAAGGACCTGAGTTCCCATCCTTAGCATTCACATAAAATCCAGGCACACAGCACACCTTGAATCCTGGTGCTCCTACAGGGCAAGGGAAGTGGAAACAGAAGAATCCCAGTAAGTTTGAGAGCCAGGTAGTTTTCCAAACCAAGTAGCAAATAGTCAAGAACCCCTGGCCCCCAAAGAAGGTGGTGGAAGGCAAGGATTAATCCTTCAGTTGTCATTCACACTTGCACTACAGCATGCAACGAGATAAAGTAAAAAGATACCATTTACACTTTTAAAAGATCAGTGTGTGTGTGTGTGTGTTTTATCTGTGATATTCACCCACAGCTAACTCTGTACCTAATGGTGAAAGATGGGTTTTCCACTAAACTCAGCAACGGCAGGGTAGCACCTCTGCAAGTGCTCCTGGTCTGTTTAGACCTCACGTCGTCTTCAGTGCATCTGTTTGTTTAGGATAATGTCACAGATACTAATGTACTTTTGTATTTTCATAAAGTTACTGGAAAAGAGTTTGACTTGACTAATTTAAACCCGTATTGGTTTACTGTAGACCTGTTTCAGAGGTGCTGTTGCTGCTGCCTTTGGGATTGTGTTTTTCCCAAATTAAGTAGAGAACTTTAAGCCCCAGTCTGGTTGTATTTGGAAATGTGGGCTTTCGGGAGGTCTGAATGAGATCATAAGGATGGAGTCATCCTAGTGAGGCTAGTGCCCCTATGAGAAGAGGAGTTCCCTTGTTCTCTCTCTCTGCCCTTGAGCACAAGCCAAGGAAAGGCTGTGCTAACAAAAAGCAGGAGGGTAGTGGTCTACAAACCAGGAAGTAGCCCCTCATTAAACATGGAAGTTGCCTGGATTCCTTGCCGCCAGGACTGTGAGAAATAGAATTCTGTTGCTCACCTCAGCCATCGTGGGTTTCCTGGAGCATCTGAAGCCACTGATACAGAAGTTGATACCTAGAATGTGGTGCTGTTGTACAGATACCTAAGAATATGGCTTTGGTTTTGGAACCAGTAGAGGCTGGAGAAAGGGCTTGTGAAGTGACTGATAAAAAGGAGTAAAGAATCTTTGCATTTTTTTAAGGAACATATTAATTTTGTGTTTAGAATGTGGTGGGAATATAGTGCTGAGCCTGATGCTTCTGCACTCAGGCCTAATTGAAAACACTGGAAGATGGAGAAAAGGCCTTCATTGTAACAAATTTGCAGCTTGGTTGGATTATGTTGATGTTCAAGTGTTTTGGGGAGGGAAGAACTATATAGATGCAAAATCAGTTACTTAACTGAAGATATTCTTAAACCAGTCAAAATATGACTGGTTTCTCCTGATTGCTAATAATAAAATATGAAAAGATTAAAAAGGAAACGCTTACTTAAAAAATAACTTAAGATTTAAGAGATTTTTCATGCTTGTACACATTGTAAATAAGAATGTGTGTTTGGAGAAGAACTAAGGATTTTGTTTACATTTAAGAGTGGCCTGATCAGGCCCCTCTGATTAATAAAAGCTCAATTAATAAAAACTCAGGATCAGAAGAAATTGGGTTTCAACCTGAAGATCTGAAAAGCAAAACAGCCACTCACTGATTCTTACCCCAACCTCAGTCTAAGATGGCGATCCTACCTCCTGGAATCTCAGAAGGAGACTGTGTTTCTGAGAGCTGTTTCCTCCCATTTTTAATTCTCTCTAGGGCTGGGATTAAAGGTGTGTGCCATTATGGCTACTGAGATTAAAGGTGTGTGTTACCATTATCTGGTCTGTAGGGCTAACCAGTGGGACTGTTCTACTCTCAGATCTTCAGGCAGTCTTTGCCTTTAATCCCAGCACTTGGGAGACAGAGACAGGCAGATCTCTATGAGTTTGAGACCAGCCTGGTCTACAAGAGCTAGTTCTAGGACAGGCTCCAAAGCTACACAAAGAAGCCCTGTCTTGAAAAACCAAAAAAAAAAAGAGTAAAAAAAGAAAAAAATGCTGCTATACTCCTCCTCCATCAGGAACAGAGTTAATTTGAGTTGAAGGTAGGTGGATTAGGGGTAAGGAAGACTGTTAGACTTTTACAAGGCAGGACATTTAAGCTCTTTGGTTGTGAGCTCAAAAGAGCTGGCCTGGAGGGTGATTGTTTCATCGGGTTGCATGGACCAAGGGCTGAAGATGCTTTGCTTAGAGCACAGCTCTCTGCAATGCACGGTTGAGCTCTATCACAGCTGAAGATGCTTAACTACAGACCTTACAGTTTTTACTGGTGTGAATTAAGTCTCTGGGAACTTGGGAGATAAGATTCGTATATGTTTTGCATGTGAGACAGAGGTAAAATAGTAATAGACCTAATTTTAAGTCCTTCCGATTGTGTTGAAACCCTAACCCTCAGTAAATGCTGTTTAGAGATAGGGCCTTTTAAGAGGCAGTTAGGTTTAAATAAATTCCTGAGATTAGGGCCTTCAAAATAGTTACTTTTCCTTACATATTAGACATGGAGGCCAATGGGTAAACGTGCTTGCCTGGGCAAGCCTAGTGACTAGACTTCAGATCCCTGAAACACTGTACAAAGAGTGATAGCATGTCTCTGTGATCTCAGCCCTTCTGCAGTGAGATAGGAAGTGGATGCAGCCTGGAGTATGTAAATAAAGCAGAGACAAGGAGATCCTGACACACACACACACACACACACACACACACACACACACACACACACACAGAGTATGCTCTGAAGACCTTATAAACACACAGCAAGAGGACAGGCAGCTCTCTGTTTATGTAACAGGAAGTGAGTCTCTACTAGACAGCACATCTGTTGACACCTTGGCCCCTGGAACAAACTGTGAGAAATAATTGTGGTTTTGTTATTGTTGTTTTGCTTTGAATTTAAGCTGTTCAATCTGTGGTATTTTGTTAGAGCTGTCTGGGCAGACCAAGATAAGTTGTCTTGAACTCTCAGATAGAAATCTCAGTGAAAGCCGGGCGGTGGTGGCGCACGCCTTTAATCCCAGCACTTGGGAGGCAGAGGCGGGCAGATCTCTGTGAGTTCGAGGCCAGCCTGGTCTACAAGAGCTAGTTCCAGGACAGGCTCAAAAACCACAGTGAAACCCTGTCTCGAAAAACTAAAAAAAAAAAAAAAGAAATCTCAGTGAAATTTAAATGAGGTATCTATTTTCTTTGTTATATAATGCTTGGTTAGGCCTAAGGGTAAATAAATATTCACAGAACCTGGTGGTTTAGCTAATCAGTTATTAAACTTCTTTTCTGTTTTCAGATGTTCAGCCTGTTGCCTATGAAGAGCCCAAACACTGGTGTTCAATTGTCTACTATGAACTGAACAACCGTGTAGGGGAAGCTTTCCATGCATCTTCTACTAGTGTGTTAGTAGATGGATTCACAGACCCTTCGAATAACAAAAGTCGATTCTGCTTGGGATTGCTGTCAAATGTGAACCGTAATTCAACCATTGAAAACACTAGGCGGCATATTGGAAAAGGTAATCTTGAATTTCTTTCCATGCCGTTGAAGGAAGTCCTTTTTTTATATTTTTGTATTATCTGGGTACAGTTCATTGCAGAAGGTACTGGAAACATCCAAAAAATCTTAAGGCATGGCTTTTGCCTCAAGTTTCAGGTTTAAAGAATGTTATCAAATAAAATGACGGTAAGTGTGGTCCTGCTCAGTTTCTGTTTCTAGTACTAGAGACCTGAAGTTCTGTTGTTTGCTTTGTCAAGTTTCCCTAACAGTCAATTAAGTCAATTAAGTCAGGGCCTAAATGAAAAGTAAGAAACATATATAGAGAGAGACTAACCAGAGTCAAGGAGATACCGTGTAGCTGCTGAAGAAGGAGGAGAAGGACCTATCAGAATCTTTCCGGTAAGCCACAGCGTTGTGGCGATACACAGATTAATAGAAATGAGTTAGATTAAGATGTAAGAGCTAGCTAGAAATATGCACAAACCATTGGCCAGTTTTGTAATTACAGTTTCTGTGTGATTATTTGGGTCTGAGTGGCTGGGAAACAAACGTGCGGTCTCCGCCTACAAGCCTCCACAGAAGCACACAGACTGCACAGGAACATATGTGTAACTTAATCTGATGCATGAGATAAGGTTTAAAAGGATATACACCAAAGTCAGAGCAGTGTCTACTTATGGCTAAGAAAAACTTGAGCTAATTCCTAGATATATTGGAGAAGTATTTGGTAAATTTTACTATTAGAACTATTAGTTAAATTTTACTATTAGAACTGCTTTCTCATAGTGTTTTTAAGTATATTTGTAGAAAACTTTAATAAATTATATTTTATTATTTTGTGTGTATGTATTTTACTATAGGTATATCTGTGCACCATATGCATACAGTGCCCTCAGAGGCCAGAAGAAGAGGGTCTCCTGGGACTGGAATTAAAGATGGTTTTGAGCCTCTTTGTAGGTGCTGGGAATCCAACGTGGGTCCTCTGCAAGAGCAGCCAGTACTCTGAACTGCTGAGTCATTGCTCCAGTTTCATGAAGGGTGAGGGGGGAGAGACGGCTTTTTAAAAGAAAGGAAAATGAGTCTGCCATTTCAAAGCTTTCTTATAATCCGAAGTCACATCGTATGTTTGGATTTCTGTGGGTGATGGTTGAAATGCTGTGGTCCTGTTTGTCAGCAAATGGTGGAAAACTTCACTAACTTTTATGATGATTGACGTACCAGGCGTTTCTTTGAAAGTACTCATAGAATGAAGTTTTAAAGAGCATCTTTTCTTTGGTAGAGAAACAAATGATGGTTGGAAGAGCAAACGTGGCGCAGTCCCAGGATCTTTTAGTTAGGCTGATTATTTTTGGCTACTGAAGGCCATCTAGTGGTGGTTGTTGGCATTTGTTGTGCCTTTCTAGATGCTGTGGTTCCTCCACACTTGTCTGGCTCTCTGCAGTGCTTTGCTCAGCCTCTTTCTGGTCACTTCTCTTTCAGGTGTTCATCTGTACTATGTTGGTGGGGAGGTGTATGCTGAGTGTCTTAGTGACAGCAGCATCTTTGTTCAGAGTAGAAATTGCAACTTCCACCATGGCTTCCACCCCACCACTGTCTGTAAGATTCCCAGCAGCTGCAGCCTCAAGATTTTTAACAATCAGGAATTTGCCCAGCTTCTGGCTCAGTCTGTCAACCATGGGTTTGAGGCTGTGTATGAGCTCACCAAGATGTGCACCATTCGAATGAGTTTTGTCAAGGTGAGTGGTTTGATCTCTACTATGACTTTAGTCATTGTAAATATGTACACATTATTAAAAATTACTAGATGAAGCTATCACTACTTTTGACTCAGTTTGATACATTGCAAGTGAAGTCTCAAATTTAACATTTTAACCATCTGACAGGTTATTTCATTTTATAATATACATAAAATCCTTGATAATTTTGATATTGGGTAAGGATTAAGTTTATAAAATATTTCAGTTAGCAGACTAAATTTTCAGAAAGCATTTAATATTATAATTGCATTTTGAGTGCCTCAGATTCCATGGCAGTGACCGTGAGATTGAATTATAGTGCTAACTTACTTTACTGTGGCTCAGTCCTCTTACAAAGGATTTCTAAAACCTATCATTTACCTTTTTGTTGTTGTTTGTTTTGTTTTTAGTCATTTTCAAGACAGGGTTTTTCTGTGTAGCTGTTATAGAACTCACTCTTAGACCAGACTGGCCTTGAACTCAGAGATCTGCCTGTCTGTGCCTCCCAAGTGCTGGGATTAAAGGTGTGTGCCACGCTCACCTGGCCAGAATGACACTGTCATTTACTCTTGTGGCCTGCTGTTACTGAACATTCCAAAGATTGTGTCTCATTAGGAAAATGTTGAGGAAGTTCCGCAGTTGGCTCTGCTCCACCCTGGTGCTGGAGGGTTAGCACAGGAGAGCAGCAGCACTGTGTGTGCAGTCTGTGTGCTTGCTTGTGTTATGTTGTTGTTGTTGTTGTTGTTGTGTTGTTGTGTGTTTCAGTTTTTGGCATTTAATCCCAGTCTACTGTTTCCTTGCTGCTTGTCAGTCATATGAATTTACTTTCTCTTCCCTTTTTGAAATACAGCTTTGTCTTTTATTCTCCTGTCTCTCTTCATTTCCTCTACTTCCCTGGGGCAAGGAGCACTATAAACAGAAAGACAGAATTTGATAAATCAAGAAAATAAAAAGTAAAAATTATATATATGTATTTCTGTTTTTATCTGAAAGTTACTTTATCTTATTAATTTCTCACCTTTAAGAACAATGGCTTAATGTAATTACTAGAGGAAATAAAAAACAGACAACAGAAAAAGCCCCAAACCCTGAAGACCTTTTTCTGTGAGAGATCATAGTCTATGGCCTTTGTAAAATTAAAAACATAACAAAATATATTTGTCCCCATGGGTCCATATCAGAATTTCTGTTATTTATTAAAAGTTTATAGCTTTGAATAATGCAACTATTTTCTTTTAATAGCATGTCACATGAATGCTGATTGGTTTTCTGTAGGTGTTCAGTTTAAGTATACTTTTTGTGTTTTTACAGTTAAACTTTTATTGTTAAAGTTAGTATAGACTGTTGACTGTTCAAGAGGGATTTGCTTTGCTGTCTGTTCCTTTTCAGGGCTGGGGAGCAGAGTACCATCGACAGGATGTTACTAGCACTCCATGCTGGATTGAGATTCACCTCCATGGGCCTCTTCAGTGGCTGGATAAAGTCCTTACTCAGATGGGCTCTCCTCTGAACCCCATTTCTTCTGTTTCATAGTGCGGAAGTATTGTTTTCAACTATATTTTTACTGGACTTGTTTTAATTTTAGAAGAATTTCCAGTACAGATGCTGTGAGCTGACATGGAAAAACAGATATTATTGCTTATTTTTTCTACATAATTGTGACCAACACATTTGTATTTTGTGATGAATTTACATTTGTTTGTATTCATGTTCATTGTAACTTTCAAAAGTATTGTAAACAATGTAGAGCATTTTGCCCCCATTGAGAAGTTTGGCATTGATGTTAAACTGGAACATACTTTTGTTTATTGTCCCAACTGTTTTTTACAAGGCAGTGCACCACATAATGAAGATTTTCCTGGAAGAGGGCATGGGATGTGGAAAGTCCTAGGCAATGAGTTTCTAGTCAGGTCTTTGTCCTGCCACCTTTGAAAAAGCATAGTACATTGTTTTGCAAAGACATGGTAGGAGCTTAAAGGAAACTATTGAATCTCTATTTGAAGGATACTGTGCACTCCTGATGTGTTTGGTGAAAGCAAGGTGGGGATCTCTAGATGTCATAATTGACATTTAGTGGAGCTGGTGTTTGTCAGTGTAATGTGACTCTGTGCTATATATCGTTTGTAAAACATTTCCTTTAAAATGCCTAGTATCTGTCATTTACTCAAGTTTGTCATAAGTTTTATTGAACAGTTCAGTGTGTACATGGCCTTGTTCAGCTGTGTTTGCTGCTTTGGGCCAGTGTTTCAAGAACTTTAATTTTAATGTGCATTAACCTTTTCATTTTGCACTTTTATGGGTGACAGTTTTAGTGTGACCTGCGCTAGAACAGTCAGGTGACCTGATCTTAGCTCTTCCCTTTACTTCCTTGGCACTCCTTTGTATCAGCACTGCCATTTAGAGATTCCAGTTGTGCGACATGATGCTTTCCCTAGCTTTTATCTTTTAATCTAATGTATGAAGTTGTTATTCTATAGCTCCAACTAAGGTGCCTGTTAATTCCCTACAATTTTATGGGTGTTATTAATGTTGAAAGATCATATACTTAATACTATTGCTCTTACACCAGACTTTCCATACAAGGACCTATGCAGTGTGGCCATCAGGCTCTTTGGGTGGGTCCTGAGGGATGAGACTCCTGGTGTGCTGGTGACCGAGTCATCAGTGTGGGTTGGGATAGTGCATTTGTAACGTCATGTAACAAAGCATGTAGACTTGTCTCTCTCAGCATCAGTGCTTTGCCTTTTTCTTTTATTCTTTTAGAGCCTACCTTGATGCTAGTCTCCAGAACACCATCTTGGATGTCATTGCTCTAAGACACCCATTTAGTTCACTGTGCCTTTGGCCTTAGGGAACAGTCAGACGGACAGTTTTGGCCTGAGAATGAAGACACTACTTTGATAAAGAAAAAAAAAAATGACCTAATTTCCCTATCAGAACGAGAAGCTTGATTTCCTGGTGCCACTTTATTCTGCTGCTGAAAATGTTATTTTGGTTTGACTTTTTATAATGCCCTTCCTGCCGTTGTCGGGAAAACAGCTTTTTGGGGGGTGGGGGAGGCATGAGTCCCCTTGTTTTCTGTGTCATTATTTATTGCCTTTCAGAGTGTAGCCATTGGGTGGCTTCATTCCTTCCAAGAAGTGCTTTGCTGGGCCTTCAGTAGCTTGAGCCTTCATGGCGCAGTCTTTAGAGTAAGTTTGCAGGTCTCAAGTTGAGTGACAGGTACCCGTCAGTGAGCTCTGCTGAAGTCTGGAAACAAGTGCCTTGCTAGTTCCGTTGTTGGACAGTGCGTGGTTATGTTGTTTGTCCACAGTCCTGTCCCGGCCCTCCGGGTTGCAGGGTCTGTGTGAATGGCAGGACTGAAGCTCTTAGCTGTCCAGAGTTTCATGGAGAAGTCCAAACCTATTTCCTAAAAGTTGTCAACATCACATCTGTGTCTGTAAATGAGAAGTGCAGTCTGTCTGCCTGCTCCTGTAATGTCTAAGGACATACTTAACGTCTGTGGGTAGGAAAAAAAGTGTGCAAAGCAAGTGCAGAACTCTGGCCTGCAAGAAGCAGTTCTTGTAAAGAAGCCCTTCAGAAGGGTGTGGCTGCTTGGCATTTGTGAGGAATGCTTGTCCTCAGACAGAGCAGCAGCCGTACACCTCTCTGTGATGAGTCTCCTGCAGCCCCAGACTGGCATTGACCCTGCTAACTTGCTGAGGGTGGCCTTGAGCTTCTGATCCTTCTGTGTCTACCTCCCAAATGCTGGGGTGACAGATGGCCACTTTTGTACCCATCTTTGTGGTGTTGAGGATCAGACTCAGGACTTTATGCATGCTAGGCGAGTGCTCTACCAACTGAGTGACATCTCAAGTTCAGTGACCACATTTTTAGTGTGCAAAATATATTAATATATGCCAGATAAAATGACAGATTTGCAAATAATGAAAATTGCCTTCAGTTTGGTGAATTCTACAAATGGTAGAATCAAATCTCAGTCATGGAATACAGCAACAAGATGCATCTAGGAAAAAGCATGGCCTGAGGAGGCCGTTTGACTGGTCTGTCTGCAGGGTAGCATGACGGCCTGGCTGTTGTTACCAGACTAAACTGAGGAGGCTGTTTGACTGGTCCGTCTGCAGGGTAGCATCTGGATTGCCAGCGTGAGACCACTATTAAGATTGCTAGATACACACTTCAGCCAGCTACACTAATAATGCAGGTAGGGAATGTGCCGGTGTTAACGTGTGGACACCCTTGGGGGTGTAAGTGGCAGTGACATTGCCATACGAGATGTACTGTCGAAGTGAACACTGGGACTGCCTGCGAGGACCTGTGGAATATTTCCGTCCCTGGCCAGTAGTGCCCTCGTGAGGAGAGACACCTCATGAAACCGAGTCGGGGGTGTGGTGTGCCCATGTTGCTGAGAGCACCGCGGTGGCACAGGCCCTGTCCTCATGCCTTTCCTAGCCATTTCCCTGGAGCACTTGGATCGTCTTCCTCTTCTCACTTCAAGTTTTGTCTCCTTTTGATTCCTGAAAATGAAATATTCTTAAAAATTACTGGTTTTTAAAAATTTATTTCCTTGGGTTTTTGTTGTTTTGAGACATAGTTTCTCTATATAGCCCTGGCTAACATGGAAATTACTGTGTAGGCTAACCTCAAACTTGAAGTAATTCTCTTGCCTCTGCAGTCTGGGGTTACAGGCACATGGCTCAGTACAGTGACCTCTGATGGTTTTTAGAGTTCAGCCTCAGGTGATGGTGTGCATTTAGACCTATTATCTTTAAAGTGCTCTGAACCCCTTCTTTGTCTACCAGGTAAATCTTTTGCTGTCTGGGGTCTCGGTAAAAATGTATGTTCTCAGTATACACACAGCTAAATAACAAGGCAGCTTTTAATGCAGGTGACTTGTGGTTTTAGAAGCGTTTCTTGATATAGGGGAGGGGATTTTCCTAAGCGGTGGTTTGTAGGGACCCCGATACTAAGGAGAATAACCTCTTGAAGGTAATCTCCGGTGCGTGGCTGTTTCCTCACAGTGGTAGGGGTTTCTCCTTTGGAATGTGCCAGTTCTTAGAAGTTTTGTTTAATAAGATGCATGTATAGGAAGTGAGCATTGAAGGCATTTGTTCTACACTAACAGTTTTCTGTCTGCTGGACGGACACTTAAACAGTTCTGTAGACTGTTGGGCTGCAGTGGAGTGTGTGCTGATAATGGCCAGCAGTGGTTAGCAGTGGCCTCAGTGATGGAGCACTTCTCTGGCAGGCTAAAGCCCTGTGTTTAGTCCCCAGCACTGCATAAACCAAACCAAACAGCTCTCAGATGCACCAGTACTGTAACTGAAGTGACCACTCACAACTGGATGGTGTCAGAACCAAGGACAACAGAGTCTTAGCGACATCCTAAAAAGTGAGACTGTTGCTGCTCAGTGATGACCTCGTCCCCTGCCAGGATCCAGTGCTGGAGCATTGGACCTCAGAAGAGGAGTTTGTGTCCTTGTCCAAGTGAAAATCAGCGTAAACAGTTACCATTTAAGGATTTGTTTGAAGTGCTCTTCTTAAAAATCCCCGAATTTTGCGTGCAGATGGGACACCTGCTGGCTCCCGCCCCGCTGTGGCTGTGGGTCCTGTTTGTTACTGTGAACTGGTGTTAGCCATAACTGCGCTCCAGTTAGGCCAAAGAGTCAGTCCTAAGTTCTTTTGAAAGAAGGTTTATTAGAGTCGGCTGTCGTCTTCTGATGCCATTGGCGATGCTGCTGCTTTGGCATTCTATGGAGCTAAATATGGGGATCGTAAGTAATGATTGTTGGGCCGCGGCACTTTAGCATGCCTGGTTAAAGTTGCAATCTGAGTTTACTTACTTAAATTTGGGTAGGAATATAGTCATGGAGAACGAATAGCTGGTGTGTCCCTGCCTTTTCCAAGGAAGACCTCTCCCGTGTGGATGGTGGAGAGCAAGAGCCGATGGCTGCACTGTGGTCTGCTTGCCTGCATTGGGCCTGCTTCCCTTCATGTCGTAGGAGATGAAACTAGCAGCATGCTTCAATTCTGCTCCTTTTTGATACTTACAAAAATGTATTAGGTTTTACTATATTGTGCTTCTCAAAGCCATAACTATTAAGCAATTTGTTTTGCATATTGTTTGCTAATACTTTATTTTAATAAACCTCAAAATGTGCTTGTGGTGTCTGTTTTTGTTTATTTTCTTTTTCTCTGTCCTAATTCATGATTCACATAGTAGTGATCTAAAGAGGGCGAGGTTTTCGTTGATGCAGAATTCTCAGTGCTGTGGACAGGAGGTGCATAGACCACATGCGCCCTCTAACCACACACGTGAACTTGACTTGGAAAGTTTTGTCCATTTTGTTTGAATGGGAGTTGCTGTCTTGTTCCTTTTTGTGCCTTGTTTTGAAGAACAATTGAGGCCTATTCTGGGGTGTTTTAGTTTAGTCAGTGTGTTCTAGATCTGTCCTCTAAGTGACGGGCTTGCCTAGCAGAGTTGGCTATGTAGTGTGTGCCTGGCTGTATTTTAGTCCTGGGCCTATGGCTCTGCACTCCTCAGCAGGATGCTTAGTTACTCTGTGCCTCAGATTCTGCAGCTATAAAATAGAGTTCTGCTTCATAGAAAAATTAAGTGAAGCAATACAAATCAAAGTATTTAGGCTACTGCTTGGGATAAAATAATTCATTAAAATTACCTGTTAAGTCTTGTTACTTTGACTTCAAGCAACTATTTCTAATACTATTGAACCTTGACCCTGGTTGATAAACTTGGTCAGTGGTCTTCATAATGACCTAACTAAGCTAAAAAAAAAAAAACCTTTTAAAAGTTTATTGTGTGCATATACATGTATGAGCACTCATGTCATAGTGTACTAATTGAAGTCAGAGAAGAACCAGGATTCTCTCCCACAATGTAGATCCTAGGGGTCACACTTAAGTCCTCAGGCTTGGCAGCCTGTGCCTTAGCCCTTTGGCCCAGCTTAGATCTTTTTTTAAAATTTTTCTCCTTTTCTTTTCTTTGGTAACTGAAGGCATACTAGCTTCTATGATCCTCCCTCTGGTGTGTGCTCCCGTGACATGAAAACCATGGCCAGAAGGAGAAAACATTAGATTCTTTACCCCAATAGAATAAACTTAAAAGGACACAACATTCTTCCAGCCTAAGTCTTTCCTTTTCCATTTTGCTGCCTTAAAGATTAAGGGAGTGGGATAGTAGGAAACTTTGAAGACAAACTGTAGGCGTCTTGATCTCCCCTGGACTTAAAGGTATTTAGATGGGAAAGGGTGAGAGGATTTTGGCCGGTGTTTAGACCTCTCCGTGTTGTATTGAGAGGGAAGTGATGTGTGGCTCCTGGGGAGAGGAATGTCCGGGAGCAGTTAGTGGGTTCTTGTGTAGAGATGGGTTTTGTTTGTTTGTTTTTGTTTGAACCAAAGTCTCCTATAGTCGTGTAGCCAAGGGTGACCCTGAGTCCTGTATCTCTTGCCTCTAGTTCCTGAGTGCTGGGCATACAGGCTTGGCCCACCAGGCAATGCCTGTCAAACCCAGGACATTGTGCGTGTTAGGCAGATGCTGCCTCTGCTGGGCTATGACTCCCCCAGATTGATTTTACAGAGTTCCTTTTACTTTGCCTTAATCTCTCACCCCTTCTTCATTCCATAAACTTTACTCACCTCATTTTAAGGATTTTATTTATATTTTGGATTTTCGAGACAGAGTTTCTCTGAAGTTTTTGGTGCCTGTCCTGGAACTAGCTCTTGTAGACCAGGCTGGCCTTGAACTCACAGAGATCCGCCTACCTCTGCCTCCCAAGTGCTGGGATTAAAGGCGTGCACCACCACAGCCCGACAAGGATTTTATTTTTTATTTACCCAAGGTGAATTCAGAATTTTAACAGCCCAGAAAAGCACATGGTAAAACTCTAGTAGCTAACCACCGCACACTTAGGCACACGCCCTTCTTATCTGTTCAGGTAGTCACTCACATTGGTTCTCTGCTTCCTTCGCCAGAGTCCTAGCTAATCATGGGTGAGACTGTGCGTGTGGCGGGGCTATGTTCATGGGTATGCAGATGTACACTCACCACACAGGTCTAAGTATAAATGTATAACTGAAATGAAAATTTCTCATGTGAGCTGAAGGTCATCTGTCAAACCCCCCAACACCAGGCACGAAAAGGCTCTTTTTGAGTTGTAGTCAGGATTGTCCAGGAGACTCCCAAAACATTACAGGCTATTGCTGTGACCACTTAGCTGTGTCAGCGCTTGTGGAGGCAGACCTGCATCCTCTGCTGGAGCAGTTCCCGAATGTGGAGTCTGCTGTGGGACATGTTGACAATACTGAAGCTAGCTGTGATTTAATGCTAGAGGTAACCTTTTGTGTAACGTAGTAAGACAGTTTTGAGTTAAATTGATTCTAACCAGCATCATTAGAGCTCTTCACCATATCTCAGAGGGAAATTCAGCTAAGAAAGCATAGCTCTTAATCTGTTCCTCTTCTTTGAACCCTTGGGCCTTTGCCCTGATATAATCAGGTACCTGGAACTGTTGCTTAGCTGACCTTAAAAATATATATATATCGGTTGAGCTGGTATTTTCACCTTTTGGCATTTGGTGTTCTCTCTGAGAAAGTAAAAAGGACAAGAGACCAGAAGAGACACGTATGCTCCTGTTTTAGAGCCTGGAGGTGAATGCACGCTGATCTATTGTATTCTGGCTCTGGCCAGGAAGGTTCTCCCCAACCCAACCATTGCATGGAGGGAAGGCCTCTGAGAGCTGGATTAGGTTTAGTTGGTAGAGGTTATGTGAGTGACGGAGGCCCTGGACTTGGGCAGCTGTTGAGTACCATACAGGTATGTCAGCGTTAGTTCAGAAGTGTAACAGCAGTCCACAATTAATCTCACACTTCTGCAAAATGTGCCTTTCATTAGCTTAGAATGGGTTAGGCCAGCTGAGGGATGCCAGCAAATGTGGAGAAAATGCAAACACCGATGTGAACTCGGCTGCAGAGAGGCTTCAGAGACATGGTCCCGCGTGGTCTGCCTAACACGCTGCAAGCTGTCACCTCCCTCCTTCATACACCTGTGTTTCCTTTGCACAACCTGCCTATTTTCTGACCTAGATCAACATAATTCACCTAATATTTAAGAACTGTTATGTGGGTATACAGAGAAAAACCTTCCTTGCACATTCTCGTTGATGGAGACACCAGACAAGGTAAACAAAATGTATGTTTACTGGCAAGTTCTAAGGAGACATGCTGGGAAGGGAGGGTGGGGAGGAAGGAATTACAGCTGTGGGTATGGCAGCCTGGAAAGAGCTCACTGAAAAGCTCATTTTGGGTTAAAGTTCAGGAAGGAGTGAGGAAGTCAGTGTGTGACAGAGATTGAACATTTTTGTTTCAGGCAGTTGAGAAAGCATGGGAACGACGTTGCTAAGATCTGTCCTTTCCTGCAGGAAGTGGAGCGTTGTAAGCAAAAATAGGACATGTACTAACATGTAAGTTCTGTACTCCATCTCCACAGACAATAATAATAACTCAAGTGTTACGTACACAGGAGATAATAATATAATAACTCAAGTGTTACACAGGAGATAATAACTCAAGGGTTACGCACAAGAAGACAGGAAATGCTAGTTGCTAACACCAGATTGCCACCCTGGGAAACGGGCTGCTTGGAAGATGAGTCGGCAAGGGAGAGTTTTGTCAGATACAGGTTTTGTTTCAAGTGAAGAATCAAAGATAAATGCACCAGTAAAACTCGCCTTCTGTTTCACGGTGTAATTAACCAATGCCCACCAAGTGCCTGTTCTGTGCCTTGAATGCTAGGCATCTAGAAGAAGCGGTGAGCAAGACAGATGTCTTGATCTCAGATGACTGCATGCAATTGTGGGGAAGAAACAGGCTAATTATAGTCATGTCGTAACTCGTTAGGGACTTGAGAGGAGGAAACATTTGAGTCTGGAGTCAAGGTCAGAATACACTGAGTTTGAAATGACCACTTCCAGAGTGTAGAATGAGGTAAGAAGGCCAAAGGGAGATGGACGGTGGAGAAATGGGCAGTGATGGGCTTTCATGAGTGACTGTTGGGTTCAGCTGCGTTAATATCCTTGTAAGTCATCTTCCCGATGACTGGGCTCGCCGAGAATAGAACCGATCCATTTGGGGAGCTCAGGCATGTCCTTTTTGTCAAAGATTAGAAACAGGACAAGAAGACATTGGCCAGAGGGAAGAGAAAGCAGCGTAATGCAGACGGCTCCTAGGGATTAATGGGTTTCAGATTCAAGAAGAGTATGGGGAAGTGAGGCCAGTTGTGGGTCAGAAGGGTGCAGGCCAAGTCTTTCAAGAGAAGGAGAGGCCATTAGAGTACAAGCAGGGCCTAGAAGCAGATGCTGCAATCAGGTACGCGTGATTGGAGGTAGATGAAAGGGCTGTAGGGCTTTGAGTTTGAGGGGCAAGAGTGGAGGTGAAAGATCTGATGGGGTAGAAGAGCGTTTAGCAGATAGTAGGAGCATGCTAGCAAGTGAAATGACTACCCTGCTTTTTTATATTAACCTTGGGTAGATAATACGGAGATTGAGACTCCTGAACAACCCTTACCCTGAGATAGAACGGTGATGGGTCTTATGCTGGGTTTTTCTGTAAGATGCCCAGCTGGGGTGCAGAGCAGCCCAGCTGTGGAGGGGAGGGTCCTCTGAGGAGCACAGAAACCCCCGAGAGTAAATGAGGCTCAGCCAACTCTGACTTTGGCAGACCTGCTGGAAGTGTAGACCCTCTATCTACCTGTGTCCCACGTGGGTGAGAAGACAGCAAGTCTCGTGGAAAGCAGTCCGTCTGTCCTGTAAGTACTTCTGGAGTCAGCATCCCGACTAACCACAACAATAGCCCACATTCAAGCACTTCCGACATCTCCAGCATGAGCTGATCACTTGACCTGAAATGTCTGTGTTGAAAATCCCACTAGGTAGGTGCACAGATGTGATCCGGGTATAGAGTATGTGATCACACTTAGATCGCCAACTGACTCCAGAACTTGGTCCCATGGTCCCTATTATCGTCTCTCCCTGGTTCCCATTATCTACAACCCCATACCCTCACCCCTTCTTACCCTGTCAGAATATCTTCTTGATAATGCTTTTGCTTCCAGTGGCTCTTTGAGCAGGGGAGCACAAACACTCATGACATGGTGTTTCCATTACAACTTGGGATTAGGATAGCAGCAAGGTCTAGCTTCTAGATAGCCACATGTCTTAAGCATGGGCTGCCCAAACAAAACACCATATTCGATAGATTAAACAATAGGAATTTATTTTCTTATAATCAGGAAGTTAGAAGTCCGGTTTGAAGATTCTGGTTAAGTCAGTTTGGGAAGAGGGTTCAAAGATGGCCAGCATCTCTGTATGTGCACACATAGCCTTCTCAGCTACGGGGAGTGAGGGGTACGTGAGGGCTTCACCCCTGTCTTCAGGAAGCTCCAGTTCCCTGAAAATGCAGCCGTTCTGGGAATCAGGACCTTGACATCAGATTGGGGAGAGCATACCTATCACTCTGCCCACAATACTAAATTGTAATCCCATTGTAGTCCACTGGCTTACATATCGGCAGAGGAGATGGGAATTCGGCCACATCCTGCTGTCCCTGGGGAACCCCAGTCCCACGTAAAGAAGAACCATTGCTGCTCAGCCAGCCCAGGAAATAGGTAGAGTCATTCAGAAAGTGCTGGCACAAGGGGCTCCCTCTCACTCGGCCTGCTTTCTAGATTCCAGCTCCATGTAGGCCCAGTTATCTGAGACTGTATTCCAGAAGCATCTACTGAAAGTAGCCACAGCCATGTTCTAGAGACATGTGTTCCAGCTTGTGTCTATCTTAGCACCTTTGGCCACCTTGGTGCTATGAGGGGGTCCCAATGGCTATGCATCATTGTGGCTATTGCTGATAGTGGTTTAGGAACCCACAGGTGACTAACTTCGTAACCTATTACTCAGTCATGTTCTTCTCTGAGGGGACCAGCCGTTGTTTTTCCTTGTGGCCACAGAAGTCAGGTGAGCACATCCTGTCTGGGAGTCAGCTTCTCTCCTCAGCAGTGCTGCCTCACGTCTGTATCTCAATTTAACCATCTTTAGCATTTGATAATTCTTCAGTGGGAGCGTTGTTCAGGCCTTTACACTGGTTTAGTATGCTGCCTGACAGAGCTTGGTGATACCATACCCATTTCACAGAAGAGGCCACAGGATATAGGTTAAATAGTTCACACAAGATCATATGGCTTTTGAGAGACAAGTTGGCATGTAAAGCCAGAGGGTCAGGACAGAGTTGGGACTGGCTCAGCACATCACCTTCAAAGCTGGCCGCTGGGGTGTAGTAGAATGCCCTTCTACACAATATTCCCATCCTTCCCAGTCCCCAGTCTTGAGCATGTGATTTTGGTATGCCAGCTAGGGGCTCGTGGTTTGCTCGTCTATGCTCATGAAGTCTCTGCAGCCACATTGCCTGTGGATTAGCTGGCTTATCCTTACCAAAGGCTTGAAGATGTTTGGCTCCGTTTCCTATAATCTACAATGCTCTGGGGAGCTTGTGGAGTGGGTTGTGCTAGCTAGAGCCTGCCGGCTTTGTGAGCAACCCCACACCTGGAAACTTTCCTGCCACCGCCTGCCTCCTCCCTGGCTTCCTAGGATAGGGGTAGGAGGCATGGTGGAGAACCCTGCCTAGGCTGCCCGAGCCTCCTGTCCGGCCATCCGAACATGTCTAAAAGCCCTTATGAATGTTGCCGACTTCCTGTGTGTATGCATTCAGGCAGGGGCTAATGTGCTTTTCCTGCTTCAGGTTCCCATGACTCCAGCATGGCTGAGAATTAACTGGATTAATATGTCAGATTCTTCTTCAGTAAAAATGTCTCCTAAGCTCAAGTGAAGTGAACTTTAAGCCAAGTAGCTCCTGGGAGTATTTTACACGACCATGAAAAGAACTTCCTGGCCTAGCACGGTAGCACATGCCCTTAATCCCAGCCCTCGAGGGGCAGGGGCAGGGGCAGGGGCAGGGGCAGAGGCAGGGGCAGGGGCAGGGGCAGAGGCAGAGGCAGGGGCAGGGGCAGGGGCAGAGGCAGAGGCAGGCAGACCTCCATGAGTTCCAAGCCAGTGCTGTGAGACCCTGTGTCAAAAACCAACCATCCACCTGGAATTAGGCTGACTTTGAAAATAGCCAAGGCTGTCCCCAGACCTATCTCCTTGTCCTCCGTTCCTGTGGAGTTCTCGGGACTGACTTCTCTCTGCTTGGGAGGAAGTGCCCTCTCCCCCTTTTAGGACCTACCTTCACCAAGCCCTGTCTCTGGTTCAGAAGCTTCAGGCCCAAGAAGGTTCTGAGAGCAAAGGTGCGAGGGAAGGACCTGCCTCGCAGAGAGGGTCTCCATGGGGTCCTGTTAGAAGGAACTGATTCAGCAGGTCAGATGGCAGTTATCCCTGGAGTCTGCCACAAAACAAAACAAAACAAAACAAACCCCTCTTTCCATAGCAGGTGAAATGCTGGGGAAAACCAGGGAGGAGGTGGTATGCTCAGACCGGCCCTGGCAGTAGAAGATACCTCCGGTCTAGGCCCTCTAGATAGACCCGCTCATACTCCCTTTCCAAAATGGTGCAACTAATGATCAGTGTTCTCAGTGCTGGGTTTAATTTGGTGAGATTTTATTGTAGAAACATGATCCGTGGAGGCCTGAGGTGCAGACTCTCCCGTGCAGGACCCTGCAGCTGTGACCCTTTGCGCCTCCACTAGCTCCCTGGGCCCCTGCTCTTAAAGGAAACTAGGTAGTTGAACCCGAGCTGGACACAATGAACCCTTGCATTATTTCCCTATCGGATCCCCAGGGTCAAAGAGCAAGAGGGGTGGTAGCCACTGCAGGGAGACAGCCATAGGGCTGGGGAGCCCAGTCCGGAGAGGCAGCTCTTGGTTAGTCCCTTGCCGTGCCTGCTGCCCCTCTGTGAGCAAAGCCAGGAACTCACCAGGCAAGCCAGGCTCCTGTCTGGCTGGGTACTCCTCTTTCTGGATGGTTTCCTGGCAGGACCCGATGTAGAGGGTAGAAGGGGGCACTCGACTGGGGAGTACTTTCAGGCACCCCACACAAACCTCAACGGCTCTCCCGCCATCACTTATTCTCCAGGTCCGAAAGGGTCTTTTAGTTCTAGACGAAGTGTCCCAGGGGCCAGCGACTCTGGAGCCCACCCTGCCCTGCTCCTGCTGGAGGCTCTTCGAGACTAAGACCAAGCGCCCCAGGGCCTGATTCAGTCTGCTCTAAACCGGCCGCGTCTTCCAGGGCGCACGGGCATCGCGCAGCGAGCGGTCGTGGGGCAGCGCAGCAAAGGCCGAGTGGCGCAGCTGGCAGCCGATGAAGAGGACGACGAGAGCCACAGATAGCAGCAGGAGGAAGAAGAGCAGCAGGTAGGTGGACAGGTCAGGCTTGGTGGCCGAGCCGTCCCGAACTCCACGCGCGGTAGCCAGTTCCAAAGGCAGAGCACCCTCTGCCTTAACTGTGGCTCCGGGGGCCAGCGCGCCGCTTCCCGCTACCTCCGGGCCGCTGGTGGCGTTGAACACGTCTCCGTACATGATCCGCGGGTCCCGCCGATCCTGGCGGGACCACCTCACTTCTGCTGCAGACCTGCGCTGCTCAGCGCCTCCATGGCGTTCCCCTCCTGCGCACCTGAGGAGGAATTGATGCCCCGCGGGCGGGAGGTCACCGAGACAACTGGAGGGTGGGGAGGGGCATTCAGATGTGTAGTCCAGGCGACCCAGGCACCTCAGGTGTTCCCTCTTCCCATTGTTGCTACCAGGACAGAGTCCTGAGCCCTTGGCCCATCTCGTGATTTTTTTCTGTCGCTCTTCAGCTTGGATGAGCTCCGGAGCAGTCCTGGGCTGCAGCAGCTACTAAGGGTGCAGGTGAATGCAGCAGCAACTCTGTTGGGCTCTGCGCTGGGCTCGGGGTGCTCTGGGATCCTCCGCTTCCCCAGTCCTGCAGCCTCGGATCCTTGTCCAGACGCCCGGTGTGTAGGAGCCTGTCCTAACGCGCTCCCACCGCTGCTGCTGCTGCTGCGCTGCTGCTGCTGCGCTCCTGTCTGAGCTGGAGACTGAGCTCCTAGCGCCTTCTGTCCTGGGCGGGAGGCAGGGAGGTGACAGGATTTGCAGCACTGCCTTGAGAGAGGCTGCAAGCCAATGGATGTCCTAGGATCAGAAAGGAGGCAGCACTGTGCCTGCCTCTCATCACTCCGAAGAGGACACTGGGGGGGGGGGGGGTGGAGGGAGAGAGAGGAGCCGGAACAAGAAAGGCTGGGAGGGGAGTGGGGTTTTAATTCCTCTTCCCAGTTGCTTCTCCAAGCCTCACACCTGAGATTGAACGAGCTGGGATTTGAACCCGAGCCATTGCACAGTGGTTCTGGCAGCTGATGTTCATGGCTAACCACAGGTTGGATACAGGGCATAGGCTTCAGGGTTTAGGTCTAACACTGCGACCTGTCACAGCGGTGTGGCACCGCTGCCTGGAAAGATGTCACTTGCCAAGCTTGCACACCAGGGTTGTGGTGCAAGGGAGCCTGGGCTCAGTCCCTAGCTACCTTTCGAGGTGTGGGGCACAACTGATTTCTGACCAGCCACAGGCCATCAGGCAGAGCACTAAATTAAGGGGTGAGCTGATTACTTTCTGTCAATTTGACACAAGCTAGAGTTATCTGGGAACCCCAAGAAGGAAACTGACTGAGGGCATGTCTGGGGGAGAAGGCGTTTTCTTGAATAAAGACAATGTGGGAGGTGTGCTGTGCCATCCCTGGGCAGGTGGTCCAGGTCCATGAGAAAGCCGGCTGAGCAAGCTATGGGAAGCAAGCTAGTAAGCAGTATTCCTCCATGGCTTCTGCTTCCGTTCTGCCCTGGCCTCCCTCAGTGATAAACTGTGACCAGGAAGTAAGCCAAAAGAGACCCTTTCCTTCTCTGGGCAGGTCTTTCTTGGTCAGAGAAGCAAACCAGAATGGGGGCAGCCTGAGTCAGAGACCAAGTGCCACCAAGTGTCACCAAATGCCCCCTGTTCCCTTAACCTTGCCTCTTTAATTACCCCCCCCCCCCCCCCCCGCCGGTATAGCCAGTTTGCATAGAGCCCCAGTGACTGGCTGCCCGTTGCTTAGTCTGGGCACACCTGAGCAAAATGGGACTGAGGAGAGGTGATTCACACGGGACCTGTGGGTGCTCAGGGTTCCATGTGAGTCGGTCCCTTGCTCAACAACCCTTGTCTGCTCTGCTGTTCCATAAAGAGGCAAAAAGAGAGCATGAGCTGACCACTGTCTACTCAGATCGATAGCCCTGGAAAAGGCTTGGTGGCCACACTATAAGTGGGAAATCAGTGGGACTGGGGGTGGGGGCAGCAAGTCTTGCCTTCAAGCGTGAGGCGAACACCCAGTTGCCACGCTCAGCAGGCGTGGGCTGCAAGGCCGGAGCCAGGCGCTGCAGGTGAGAGACACAGGACCAGAGTAGACAGTGGCCTCAGATGTGCAGGGGCAGATGCTTCTTCTGGTTTCACATTCTAGACGTCTCTCTCACTCCTCACCCTACTGTCGGCTCTGCTACCTCCCCCACTGTGGGAGAGCATTACCCAAGCAGCCATGTTCACGTCTGTGTCCCTCTGTGCCTTTCTCCTCCCCACATGGAGAAGTAAGAGCCTCAGGAAAGCCTGGGCTGGCAGCTGAATGAGCTGATGGAAAGAGGAGCTAGTTTCTCTCCTACCGCACACTGGGTGCGGCCACAGCACAGCAGGTCAGAGGTCATCCCCACAAGCCCAACTCTCCATGTCACGGAGACACCTCTTCACCCTGTCTCACTTGACATGGTGGCCCTGAGTGTTGAAGTGAACAACACATAGGGTATTCTGGGGAGACTCCCCGGGCCAGGAGGGGCCATGTAGAAGTTAGGGAACAGCAGGACTCAGCACTGCCCACACCTGCTGGGTTGCCACCCTTGGCAGCCTCCGTCCTGGCAAGCAGCCTATGTGCTTAAAGGACACCAGTCCCTGGGCCTCCACGTTTGGCAACTGTTTAGACCAACAACTCACTTTTCAGATGGGAAAGCTGGCTCGGAGAGGTGCCAGAATTTATCTTCGTTAGCCCCGGATACTGTAACTGGCCCAGGGCTGCAGTAGCAGGGGCAAGTGTTGCTTGCTCTGTAGGTCTGGTCTAATTTGTACTGCACTTGCATGGGAGGTGAAGTCCTACAGACAGGCCAAGCCAGAACAGGCCTCCCTGGCACCTTACCCACGCAGTAATCAGCCGCGGGGCTGGATGGAGGTTTGCTTCTGGGATCTTGTGTGGCTTGAATGAAAGGCCCAGGTGGTTAGGTTTGGGGCTTGGTCTGGAACTCTCTCCCGAGCACTGGGTGGGAAGTGGTGAGGCTGACTTTGCCCATTTCTACTAAGTACCAGCCTGGCTAGATAAGTGCCCAGGCAGTGGGCTTCCTACAGCTGTGTGGGCAGCTCAGTTGGGAGGTCCTAAGTGGCATCCTGGGCAGGACAATGCCTTTGGGCTGTAAAGGGAGGCTGGGTAGCAGACAGATGGCTGCTCTGTCTCCGGTTGTGTCTCTAGGATGTGGCTGTGGAACGTGGGTATATAAAGAAGGCTTGGTATCAAGAGAGGGTCCCTTCCTTGCAACATCGTAGGCTCATGGTGGGGGCAAAGCATCTCTGATGCTGGCCCAGGCCCCTGACACCACTTGCTCCTCCTGTCTGTGCTGCGCAAGTCCTCCCACCTGGCACTGAAGGAGCTGGACCACCAAGGCCGTGCAGATGACAGATGACGGCACTGAGCTGTTCTCATGGCAGAGCGGTTCTGGTAGCTGCTGTTCGTGCCTCTATCCACAAACTGAGCACAAATGGCCTTCAGGGTTCATCTCGCACACTGCAGCCTGTGATGGCACACTGCTGTACCTCTGTGCCTCCCAGGCAAGAGGGCGGGGCCTAGGTAAGGGGTCACTTCCAAGGTCACACAGCTGGGTTGCAGGGTGAGGGAGCCTTGACTGCCACAGCCTGGGAGTGTTCACCCAGTCTATCAAGCCGCGTGTTATCAAGCTGCGTTTTCTCTTGACAAAGTTGGAGGGGTACCCTGCCTCTTTGGGGGAGTCCTCTGGTATCGATGAGGAAGCCACCGTTTATTTTCTGAAAGACAGAGCCCTGAGAGGGTTGATCATGTTCCTTGCACATCCCCGGGCAGGCAATTGAACAAGCCTGTCACTGAGTGAATGCACAGATAGAGTTTGCGCAGTTTTTTATGCAAGCTGGAGTGACCTTCCATTAAGGGTGCTTTGTGGATGCACACATTTAAGTCTTTGAAAGATTATAAAAGGGGGCTCTGAGGCCGCCTTTGACTGGCAGAGGTCACAGGGCTGTGCGCTCACAAGGACCTCTCTCCCATTCCGTGCTTATTGAGTGGTATGTGTGCCCCTCCTGATGCCTGTCTGCAGAGCCCCAAGGGAGGCGAGGTAAGGACACCCTCCTGCCTTGACGACCATTTGGCAGTTGTTGAGTGGAAACTAGGGGAGCATTGATGTAGCACACCTGCGCTACGGGATGGTTCACGAGCCAGGAAAGGGGCTGGAGGTTTAAATACACACATACACACACACACACACACACACACACACACACACACAGAGAGAGAGAGAGAGAGAGAGAGAGAGAGAGAGAGAGAGAGGCACGGGTCATCCTTGAAACAAGAATGCCAACTTTATTATGTGCCAGGGAAGCTTATATAGGTAGGGATCCTTAACTGATAGCCACGCCCCAGCTCTTGGGATTTCCAGCTGTAACACCCACCAGGAACCACTTCTCTGCCATCAGGAACTCATGAGGGTCTTGTGCTCAGAGCAGCTGCAGGCACAGGAAAACAACTTGTTTACTCTGCTCACTCCAGCAGGCAAAGGGTCTGAGCCAGACAAAGAAAATCAAGGGACCGGAGGTCTGCAGCCCCCAACACACTGAGCCCCAGGATTTTGTAAACTTTGCTGAAACTGGTACGGTTCGTGGTGAAGCCATTTCTGTTTCTTCTAAATGTTTGGGGAATCACTATGAAACCACTAATGTCAAACAGACTGGGGGTGAAGAGACTTCCTGTGTATGTGGGGGTGGTGGTGGTGGGTGGGCTCATAGTTCCCCTCTGACTGATGAAGATACATACCCTGCTTGCAGAACTTATTTTTGGTTTGAGGATTGTTTTATTTATTTATTTATTTTGGAGACAGGTTCTCTATGAGTAGCCTTGGCTGTCTGGAACTCGCTCTGTAGACTAGGCTGGCCTTACACTCAGATCCGCCTGCCTCTGCCTCCTGAGTGCTGGGATTAAAGGCATGCACCACCACCACCGCCGGGCTATTTTTATTTTTATTTTTTTCTAACTGCCTTTGCTCCAGCATCTGAGTCAACCTGAGGACAAAGAGGAGGTGCCATGTTTCCGGCATAGTAAACCCCCCTTCTGTGGGACCCCTCTCACATCCGGCATGCCCGTTCTCCCAGCCTGTTGCTTAGCCTCATTAGGAAAACTGCTTCATTTTGGAGTCTTGGGAGCAATTTGTTGTTTATTTCCTAAAATGACCATTCTAAGCGGCAGCTAGGTCATCAGCCAGTACAGTTGTCGAGATTGTAAAACAACAGCTAACTATTGGCAGCATGATGATTTGGTTCCTCTGGGGGCAGCTTCAACAAGGTCGAAGTAACTGCAGAATGACGTTTCTTTTTCCACCTCTTGATTTCTCTTGATTATGAAGAGAAGAAACTCCGATGTGATGCTGTTCGTGGGGGCCCCATGATGAATGGGCTGTGTAGGTCCAAGAAGCCACCAGACTCTAAAAAGGAGGGCCTGAGAGGAACCGTTTACGACTAAAATGCCATCAGACAGGCC